TTCCTCGCATTGACACTTTGTTAGACAAATTAAGTAAAGCAAAAGTATTTTCTACAATTGATTTGAGATCTGGTTTCTGGCATATCCCGATTCACCCTGCAGATACTGAGAAATTAGCTTTTTGCACGAATTTTGGATTATTCGAATGGTTAAGACTCCCTTTTGGTTTCAAAAATGCTCCTGCAATTTTTAACAGAACAATTAGACGAATATTAACAAAAAATAAAATTAATTTCGCTTGCAGTTACTTTGATGATATAATCGTTTACTCTTCCTCTGAGAAGGAACATTTAGAACATTTAAAAATTTTATTTGAGGTGTTTAAAGAGGAGCATATTAAATTGAATCGAAACAAATGTGTGTTCGCCAGAGATCAGATCACATTTCTTGGCTATGAAATAAAAAATGGTAGAATAATTCCCGATAACCATAATATAGAAGTTATTAAGAAACTTAAAAACCCCAGTAACACCAAAGAGTTACAAAGAGTTTTGGGAAGTGTGAATGTGTATCATAGATTCATTCCGAATTATGCAACTATTAGAGCTCCATTAAACAGACTCTTGAAAAAAGATGTCAAGTGGGAATGGGATGACCAATGTCAAAAAGCTTTCGACGAAATGAAAAGAATACTGATTTCCAAACCTGTTTTACAATTGTATGATTCCAGTAGGCCATGTCATATTTTTGTTGACGCTTCTCAAACTGCTGTTGGAGCTGTTTTGAAACAACCAGATGAAAATGATGTCCTTCACCCTGTATCATATCATTCCCGAACTTTAAGAAATTATGAGAAAAATTATACGATTACTGAGTTAGAATGTTTGGCCATAGTAGATGCCCTAGACAAATTCTATTACTATCTGCATGGACAAAAATTTGTTATACATACGGACCATGCGGCCCTCGTTTGGCTCAAAAATGTTAAAAATTTAAAAGGTAGACTCTTCCGTTGGTCACTCAAACTAAGTATGTTCAATTATGAAGTAAAGTATCAGAAGGGCTCTACCAATATTGAAGCTGACATGCTTTCTAGACATCCTGTTTCACAGCACCTCCAACATTATGTACATTTACTTGATAGAAATGAAATAATCCAACAACAAAAAACTGATAATGTCTGCGGAAAAAATTACCAAGAGATAAATGATATGATGGTAATTAAGAAAAAGAATTTTTATAAAATTGTAGTACCTAAATCTTTAAGATTAAAATTGTTGAATAAAACCCATGAAAATTTTGGTCACCCGGGAGTTCAAATTATGCTTAACTTAATCACCCCTCAATATTATTGGCCTCATATTAGCGAAGATATCGGAAATTTTGTTAAACATTGTCATACTTGTCAACTTAATAAAAAGAAAAAAAACAGAAAAAATTTGGTCTTATGCAAGACGTACCCCCAACCGACAAACCTTTCGAATGTCTCTCTATTGACACTGTGGGAGGATTTAATTATTATAATTCTACAAAAAAATATTTACATATAGTTATTGACCATGCAACAAGATATGTCTGGGCTTTTCCCTCGAAAAGTGTAACTTCAGAAACCTATGCCAATTGTCTAAAACAAATATTTCAAATACAAGTCCCCGAAAAAATTCTGAGTGACAGGAATGCAGCCTTCACTTCCTCTAGATTCAAAAAAATTTCTTAAAAAGCATAATGTTAAACAACTTTTAACTTCATCTCACCATCCCCAGACAAATGGTAAAGTAGAAAGAGTAAATCAATCAATAGTAAGTCGACTAAAATGTAAAGTAAATTCTTCTTCTAAAAAAGTACCATGGGACTAAAGTGCTAGAGCAAGTTGTTATCGAATATAACAACTCCCCTCATACGGTAACTAAGTTCACCCCAGCATACTTACTATTTGGTAACCTCCCTTTTGAATCTCCAATTGATCAAAATAAATACCCTTCCTTAAATGAAGCAAGGGCTTTAGCAAAGAAAAGAACTATCGAATACCACCGAAAGAATAAAACTAGATATGACATCAGATTTGTAGAATCTAAATTTCAACCTGGAGATTTTGTCCTTTACGAGGAATTTGAATACCCAAATACTAGAAAATTGACTTCACCCTATTCAGGCCCTTATCGGATTATGAATAAATTATCTGAAGTTAATTATGAAATCGACAGGGAAAATTTTCACACGAAGAAACCAACTGAGATTGTACATGCGTCAAAATTAAGGTTCTATTATCCACCCGAGAACTTTAAATTACATCATGAATAAATCAAAATTTATAAATCAATAAACTATCCATAACCCTTCTTTTAGTTTTCATCCTGTTGTCCCCCTTAATAGTTGATTTATCTCTCAGTGTCTGAAAAGTTTGTCTGCCCTTTTCTTTTACTGGGCTCCTTCAAACTTGAGTTTCAGGTTCAATGCACTTTCCGTGTGGGAAACACTCAATTGAGGCTATACTACAAGTAGAGTACTATACCCTCACATTTCCTTGAGCTCATGTTTTCCTATGTTTGTGTTATAAATTGTAGCAACAGTTGAAAAAGTTAAATTTCAGTTGTTGAAATTTCTGAATTTCATTTTATGTTTCTGCAGCATCGTGTACAAAAAACTGGTATGGATGTTGGAAGTTAAATTTTGTTTTGTTATCATTAATAAGAGAAAAATAGAGTGACAAAATATGTTAAAAACCTAGCAAAATGTGTATTTTCAACAAGAGTATAAGAGCTCTAGTATCGTGACATAAAAACTCAAATGTTTTCAGTGCCAATGCTGATCCATAATTCTAGCGCTAATTAAATGATCCGGAGATCTCCAAAGACCAGTAAAAGACTGAAGATGAGCCTGAATGACAACTCTAATGATTGTACGGACTCATACACAAACTGTGAATGGCATGCCCTAAGATATAAACTTACAAATTCAGTTATATTACTATTTCCTATTGCCGCGTAGCTAACCAGCAATATGTTATTAGTGCTTTATTTGTTCTGCACTTAGTTACTATATTATAATTTCATTAATCATTTATTATATTTTATATACTGTATTAATTATATTCAAATATTTTATGTCATATTTTATGTAAACATTTTGTGTGCCTTGAGGTAAATCCAATCAGTTTTCCTACTCACTTAATTTCCTAATAACTAAATTTTCTGCTCTCACTATCTGGACTGTCTTGGGTCGACGGCCGCGACTGCAAGCCTTTTCAGATGGGGGGGGGGGATAATCTGTAATGATATTTTTAAATCAATTGATTAAATTAAATTCTATTAATATTGCTTAATAATGTGTTGGCGATTCTCTACCTAAATTGCATCCCTGTTCCTAAATTTTGGCGAAATCCTTTCTTTAGTATAAAATATATTAACCTGTTGGCGCCCGCCAAATCGCCAAACTCATAAATCTGTCATATTACATAAAGTACTTAAGAACACTCCTGATGAGAAGATAGCGTCACCTCGTGATTTCAATTAATATCGCTGATTGGAGGAGCCTCGTGACGTACACATATGTATAAGTAGGGCTTCTGCTCAAGGTACGAGGAGAACGCTTACGAGATGGATGCTAAAATAAACCTACCACTTTATATTCCAAAATTTGTCTCATTCCTGTTGCCCCGGCTGCACAAAACAAATAATGTATGAGAAATTACATTTCATATATATATATATATATATATATAAGATGGATACAGAACTTCTCAAAACTTAATTTGAATTTTTTTAGTAATCAGGATTAGTTCATTAGGTTTCCTTTAAAAAATTAAAATTTTTAATATAGTTTTTCAACTATCGCCATTACAAAATAGATACTATCACGAAGGATTAACCAATCTTGTCTATTGAAGCTTCATAACGTATTTCCGAACTTCACTTTTTCTCGGCTAGTGTTACCGAATTTGCCCTTGGCGACCTAAAATTGAAATGGAGTCGACAGATTTCCCGTGAAATCGATAACAGACCCTCTGCAGAAATAAACTCATAATCCCGATATCCCATACATATAGTATGTGCAAAAGAGAATAAACTCCGTAGAAGGTGATAAAAAATGAATTTATGGCTTAATTGAAACAAACACAGAAATTAAGCTAAGCAAAACCGTGTAAAAACAAATTGAAATGATAAAATGAAACTTAATTTTCACGTGAATTTTCAGCTGCTGACTCTCCCATTCTAGAAATTTCAATTTGTTTCAGACAAAGACCGCATTTAGCTTTAAAAGCTTTGTCATCCATCAATATCCAGTCTTTGTAGTCAGCTTGATGAGGCCACAGCTTATTGAAAATGCACTTTCCAGGCATTCTCGTTCCTATTGGCGTTGGAAGGGTTCTGGCCATTCCAGGTTGGGACTGCTCTAATTTTGGGAAATATTTTCAGAATCCCCCCCCCTTTTTTTTCTCGAGCACCTTCATCATCACTTTCGCCTCTTAAAGAACTTCCAGCTTCACGCTTTCGTCACAATCTGCCTAAATTTTGGATAACACCTGTTTTGAAAGATTGGGTGTGAAAAGCCAATCAGACACCGATAACTTTCGTTCGGGTAGCTAATTGTTTTTTTTTTTATGTTTGCAACGCAAATCCGCCAACAGATTGGTTAAAAGCCGTGCAATTTTAATTCCATATTCACGAGAAATCGTAATTCACACTTAGAATGGCAATCATTAGAAATGATAAGAAATGTCAAATGAGCAAAATTAAGGACCGTTTATTCATTTTGGCCAAAATTAAGGACTTTTAAGGACCAAAAATCATTTTTGAAAAAATTAAGGACTTTTAAGGACCGTATGAACCCTGATTATACATTATTTAAACATGAATACGACAAATAAGATTTAACTTCAACTGGGAAATTAAAGCTAAGGACTACTGTCTATTAAAAAAGCTCTAAAACTAAGCCTAATTAACCAAGTTAAATCAAATCTTAAAGAATAGTTAAATTATGAATTAACATCATTCAAAATCTGAATTCACAGATACACAATAATTCTCCTTATAATACATATGTAGATGCATAAAACTTACAGGTGGCTTACGTCGAGGAGGGAGCCGGGGGCGCTTTCTTCGGCTTGCTCTCATCGTGGATGAGGATACCTTCAAAAGTGAAAAATAGTATATATATAGTATAAATATATAAACTTTCAGATGTTAGAGCACACATTACAAATATTTCTTACATTTGCAATCACATATCAAAAATCTTCAGATAACTGCATGCCAGTTCTTGTAAGATATTGACATTAAGTAAAACTAAAAAAACAAAATGGATTATGAAAAAATTTGCTGGAAGTGTATTTTTGAGTTTTTTAAAAAAATTTGTGGGCAGTTTTTGTGAGCTATGTCATTTAGATTTTGACTATGAAGATTTTTTTATTTATAGTAAATAATCAAGAAAAACACCCTTCATGTCTTTTGTGTTTAATCTTTCTTATGTTTAGATATTGCAGCTGTAGAGGATGAGAAAGGCAGTTCCCCGAATGACTCAATATGCAAGTCACTATTTAAAGTCTCGGATGGGACATAAACTCAGATAGGACATGGAAGAATTAAATCATTTTCTAAGCTGCTGACAACTTTACAACAGTTGAAGATATTTTCTTGACATGATATAAGTTCGTTGGACTGAGTTTTTACACATCTTTAAGGGAAATGTTTAAGATTATTATTTTATTTTTCCTTACTGCTACCATATATTACACTATGCTATACTATGAAGAACTTATTTACATTTAACACCTCAAAATTACCTTCCATGAAAAGAAACAATTCCTTGCAATAACCATAAAGTACATTACTAAAGTCTAGATTATTGAAGCATTTAACACAAATACTGTAATTTCCGGAAGAAAAGCCACATCAGCGTAAATGCTGCACTTAGGAAAAATGGCGGGGGAAAAAACTCAAATTACGCAGAAACACTGCAATAAATGAAACTGTGTGTGACATAATCGTGGACGTTATGGACACAAAATTTTGACTTAGTCCTGATGTATGACGTATCAGTTAAGAAAAATGCATGAAATGAAATCATAACTAAAAAATAAATCATAGGTAAGAAATTTTGAAAATATACTTATGTTCACGAATACATATTTATCCACTAAAGAAGTCCATATTTCTCATACTCATACTATAATATAAAAAATATCTCAACAATGAGATATTAAATTTGGATGACAGAAGGAAATTTTAATTAAAAAAAGAATTAAATCAAACTGTACGTCATATGAAGCCATCAAAATCTGATTCTTCATCTATCTGAATTAAAAAGATTTAGCAAATCCTGATCTAATAGTCCAAGTGTTCCAGATCGTCACATTCATCCTCTTCGTTTACAGTCTCTTTATCTGAGGATATAATTTCAGCTTCTTTGAACCCTACTGTTATTGACAATGTTTTCACGGATTTCCACACACTTTGCAACTTCTTCATAAGATGCTCTACGCATTTTGCCGCTTTTGGTACTCGTATGCAATCCTTCACTCATTCAACACTCCCACCACTTTTGGACTTCAGCTTTGAAGAATATATTAACTGACAAATCTAATGGTTGTAAAATTTTTGTCAAACCACCAGGAATTACTGCTAAGGTTATAAACAGTTTTTGACATCTGGTTTTCACTAACTCAAGTAAATGAGAAAGCATGGAATCCATTATCAACAATCCTTTTGGTTGGAAAAAAAGATCCCTTAGGACACTGCCAAACTTTTTGTAGCCACTCGTGCATAATTATTTTGCACATTCATCCATTCTCGTTTGCACAAATAATTACGTCATTAGGAAAAATCTCCCTTCAGAATAGTTTTCGTTTTAAAAATGATCATCGGCTTTAGCTTGTCACCGTTTGCAACACAAGCTAACACACATGTAAATGGCGTTCTTTCATGTCCTGTCATAAGCACGGATACAGTTTTTGCAACCAGTTTCTTAAACATATCTTTGCAAAAGAGTCAAAAGCTAATGGCTTTTCATCCATATTTATTATCTGTGATGAAAGAAGTTTTTGTTTGTTGATAATATCTTTCACATATTTTAGAAAAGATGCCTTTTTATCTTGCCAGTCCATTGGTAATTGTTGACCGACTGTAGTTCTAGTTCTAGTTCAAAAAGAAATATTTTTTCTTTTCATAAATCTGCTACACCAGCAAGGCCAGCCTTTCAAATCATTTATGCTCATTTGTTTCGCAATAAATTTTGTTTGTAAGTGAATTTTTACAGTCGAAATTGCCATTCCCTTTCCTTGTTGCTCCTTTATCCAGTGTGCAAGGTGGCCCTTTATATTCAGCCACCTTATAGTACCACTTCTTATGGCTTGCTTCGGTTATGGCATATTTTTAAGTTCTTTTTCAGTTCTCCAATGTCGAATTCATCTCTTATCCACTTCAAAATCTTGAGCTATTGCTCCATTTTCAATTTGTTCAGCATGTGAAATTACATTTGCTTTAAACCAGCAGTATAGCTTCTGTGTCATTTAGGTGCCGTTTTAAAAAAATGTCCACTCTCTTCTTACTTAAAAACTATTCAAGAAAAATCGATTCATGCTGAAGGGGGAATACGCCAGAGTTCGTTATCGCAATGCAGGTAGAGTCATGTCCGCCTTTGGAATAAAAATAAAAAATTGCAGCAGATTTACAATAGAAAAGGCAGGAGAGGAGAGAGGATGGGTCCAGGAAGATACATCCAATTGCAGCAAAGAGAGACTATTCAAACTGATGAGAATGCTGATTTTAAAGAGGAAAGAATATTTTTTTCTGAGATCTCGTTTAGGGTCAATAAGACACAAAGGTCCATTCAAGGGAAAGAATGTAAACAAAATAAAGTTCACAGGAAGCAACTTTGTGTGGGAACAGCACCAAACTATGTACAATGACATCATAGGCAATATTTTTTTAAGTGTATCTAAACACTTTATGAAGAGAAACACTACACAAGCTGAAAATTTAAGTTTTAAACACGTAAATACTGTGGAATTTCTTCAGGAAATTACAGTAACGTTCCCAACAATGAGACTTAACTTCAGCTAGTAAATTAAAAACAAGGACTGATGTCTACTAAAAGCTCCTAAACTAAACCTGATAAAAAAGCTAATAAGTAAGTTAAATCAAATCTTCAGGAAAACTTTAGTTAAGTTATGAATAAAAAACGTCATTAAAATTCTGAAATGACAAATATTTAATAGGTTTCCTCATAATATATATAAGAACAAATCGTACGTGGTGGGGAGGAGAAGGAGGAGGAGATAAGCTGGCAGTTGGTGCTGTGTGCTGTAAAAGTAAAATACATATTTTAGAAACTTTGAATAGCTAGTGCACATATAACTAAGTTAAATCAAATCTTAAGGAAAAATTTAGTTCAGTTATGAATAAAAAATATTAAAATTCTGAAATGACAGATACTTAATAGGTTTCCTCATAATATATATATAAAGATGAACAAAACGTACGTGGTGGGGAGGAGAAGGAGGAGGAGATAAGCTGGCAGTTGGTGCTGTGTGCTGTAAAAGTAAAATACATATTTTAGAAACTTTGAATAGCTAGTGCACATATAACAAATATTTGTTACATTTACAATTAGAGATCAAGGAGAATGAAAACTGGAGTCTGATGAATGGGACATTACTTTTCATACTGCTTTGAAATGACAACATATCATTCTGTATTTTCTGATCTCACACAATAGCTCCTTTAAGCATTCAAATAGCATTACACATCAGGAATTCTGCATGCTTAAAATCCAAAGACATAGTGCTACATAACATTCAAATTCAATGTAAGAGGTACTATATATATATATAGTTCTAAATTATTAGTTATTATAGAAATATTAGTTCTAAATTTCTTACTGTATATATATAGATATAAAATAAGAAATTTGGAACTAATATTTCAAAGACCAGAAATTGAAATTCATAGTTAATAAATTTCAAATAATCATATATGAGTAACATTTAAAAGTAATTAGGTTGTTAGCCTAAATTACAGTAAAGTTTATGGAGGAAAACTTTAACCCTTATCTTTCTGATATTAGTTCTATTCCTAAAATTTGTAAAACTATTCAAATAATATAAGCCCTAATAGCTGCTCATTGCATTTCATAATCAGAAAATAATTCTACAGACAAAATACAGCTGTTGTGATTAAAATATATTTTGAATGTTTAAAATAAAAATAAGTGAAAACTCATGAATTTTTTTACACATATAGTTTAGAGAAATATTGAGGGAAAAAATTTCTTTTACCTCATACTCTGGTGGTCTGCTTCTGGTGGCTCTCCTTTTTTGCACAGCATATGCTTCTTTTTAAAAAAAGAAAAAAGGAATCGGACTTCTCTGTATGTACATGGTGCATGATTAACAGAAATGCATAATCAACAAATAATTAACATTAATATGGAATCTAAGAAATGGAATTTTGGGAAAGGCACTTCATTTACTAAATAAATAAATAAAAACTGAACTTGTACACAAATCAAAAAACATTTATTTGAAATTGTTAACTGGCAATCTACTGAATTTCGTTTGTCAGTTAATCAATTTTAAACTAGATGGGGCCAGTGGCGAATAAGGCTAGTGGACTGGAGCAATTTCAGGCGGATCAAGAAACTCAAACAATTGAATCGACCCCAATGACTCGGCAAGACAGCCCTGCATGTGAGGAAGACATGGATGCACGTGCCGCATATCGCACTCAAACTCGCATGAGATATGGTAGCTGTAGGGTAGGGATATAGTTGACATCATGAAATCTGATCATGCAGATTTAAATAAAATGGCAGAAGAAAAAATGTCATCAGCATCATCAGTGTTCAACATCGTAATCCATAGTTATCACATTTTTAGAGTTCTTAAAAAAAAAAAAAAAAAAAAAAAAAAAAAAAAAAAATTCAAATTGGCCAAAATCAGCATTTAGTCCTTATTTTACTTTTTAAAATCCTATATAAAATCTGCCAATTTTTAATGGTGATTTCTTGAATATTTCTTGAATACTGCCAATTTGTAATAGTGATTTCTTGAATAAATGCAAATACTTTTGCAAAAATTTTAAAGAATTATACAAAAGGTTTAGCAGACAACAAGTTTTCTGCTTCAAATGAACAAAAAATAATAAGAAATTTCAAAAGCATCAAATATTTCTATTACATTAATCATAAAATGTAGTTTTATAATCTTCTTAGAATATTCATAACTCAAAACAATGCTCTATTTACCCCAGATAAAAGTCAGTTACATTGTCGCGAGCAACTCAACAATTGTATAAATGTAATTACTTTAAAGGTTAAATTTTTACTGTTTGGCAACATTGTATCGTTTTTATGTTTTAGAATAAATAAAGTAAAAAATTCACCATGACTTTGCATTAAGGTGGATTGCCTGTTTTATAGTGAATTAATTAAGGCGGATTGCCTGTTTTACAGTGAATTAATTGGGTGGATTGCCCATATTACTCAATTAAAATATCTCTTTACGTTTCTTTTAATGGAGAACTGACTGAATGAACAAAATTCAGATAGAGTCTCGTAACATGGTGACCGTATGACATGATATTAAAGGTACTTTATTTTGAATTACCTATTATTCTGAAAACGGAATTACTTGTTAAAAAACACAAAACACTCTCCTATAAGAGCTAACTTCACAAAATGTTTTAATGGTTTGAATGATTTATTAAAGGCAGATAATGTTAAAGAAGAGAGCATTAGATCTAACTTTGCTAATTTATGTAGAATTTATTGTCAGCTAACTGAAATAGATCAGGAAATAAGCTCTTTATTATTAGAAGATACAGACGATAAAAAGTATCAGAACGAGTACGCGATAATAGAAGAATATAATGAAAATTTCGTAAAAGCGGAAGTAAACGTAGAAATGTATTTAAATAGAATTTCTAAAACCGAAAGTTCTGTTGATTCTTCGCCCGTTCAAAAACAAAAGTTAAAGTTACCAGAGATCCAACTTTTGAAATTTGACGGGGAAATCAAAGATTGGCTTGCCTTTCGGAGCAAATTCAAAAGGATACATGACAATGAAAGTATTGCGAAAGATAAATTTAAATATTTAATCCAATGTATGACTGAAGGCTCTAGATCTCGCGATATTGTCGATAGTTACCCACCGACATGTGAAAATTATGATAAAGCTATTGCATGTTTAAAATCAAGATTCGGCAGAAAGGAATTACTAATCGAATTTTATATACGCGAACTCTTAAATCTTGTTGTAAAAAATGTTACCTAAGAAAAAAGAAAGATACGTTGAAATTATATGACAAATTAGAATCACATCTAAGGGCATTGGAGTCCATAGGCTTAACATCCAATACATATTCAGCTATACTTTTCCCTCTTGTAGAATCGTGTATTCCGGAAGACATTTTTAGAGTTTGGTTAAGAAACCCTATAGTTAACACCAAAATCGATTCTTCTGAATAAAATGCTTATGGGGAGAAATTAAAAAAATTACTATTGTTCCTGAAAGCTGAAGTTGAAGGGAAGAACGTATTCGTTTAGCAAAGGGATTTGTTAGTAAGGAACACAAATTTTAGAAGGAAAAATTTCAGCGTTCTGTTCCTAGTAATCCACCAACGGCAGCAGATTTGTTTGCGGGAACAATTGAGAATAAAAGAAAAAATGTTTGTATATTTTGTGATTAATTGCACGAAAGTAAAGATTGCTTTTCTGCATGTAAACTCAAGTTTCAAGAAAAACAAGAAATTTTAAAAAACAAAAAGGCCAGTTTTGTCTGTTTAAAAATTGGACATCGTTCTAAATTTTGCAAGTCCAACATCAAATGTGTCCTTTGCAGTAAAAAACATTCGATTTTGATGTGCCTAGAACTCCCTGGAAATAAGATGAAAGGTGACGTACAGGAACTTGAGAAGACGTTGTCGTCTGATGTTAGTTCATCTAACTTATGCACTTCTGATGAAATATTGCTTCAAACGTTACAAGTGAAACTGAAGACTAAAGGGAAAGAGCTACAAGTACGTGTATATATTGACACTGGCTCACAATATTCTTACATTCTTAAAGGAACAGCTAAGAAACTAGGTTTGAAGCCTACAGAAAAGAGAATCTTTATTCACTCTCTATTTGGGGGAATTACAACTGAGAAAAGGGAGCATTATGTTTATGACGTTAACCTGATATCTTTGAAAGGGGACTTCTCCTGTAACATAAAGGTTCTGGATCAGCAGATCATTTGTGGCAACATTCCTCGGTTGAGAAGAGACCTTTATAAGGAAAAGTTAAGAGAAAATAAAATTTGGCTCACTGACTATGGAGAAGGTTGTCCTGATATTGATCTGTTAATAGGTGCAGATTATTGTGGTAATATATTTACAGGAAGAATATGTACATTGAAATCCAATTTGATTGCATGTGAAACTTATTTAGGATGGGTTATCATGGGAAACATGTCCGAAGAAAGGTTTGATGAAACTTCATCCCACTTAGAGACATCTTTACTGATTAAAAATTCTTCTGTGGCTGATTTGTGGAAACTAGATACTATAGGTATAAAGGATCCTACTGAAACAAGAAACGGAACGGTCCATTCTTCAGCATTTTAGAAAAATCATTCAGAGAGATGAAAATGGTCGTTACATCGTCAAACTACCTTGGTTAGAGACGTACGAGACGTTAAGTGAAAACAAAGATATAGCTGAAAAAAGATGCATAACTACTACTCAGAAACTTCTTAAAGAAGGAAAATACGATGACTATGAAGCTGTATTTGAGGAATGGTTACAGGAAACTATCATCGAAGAAGTACCAGATAGTGAATTGAGAAATCCTTGTCATTATTTGCCTCATAGAGGTATTTTTAAAGGAAATTCTACTACGAAGGTAAGCCCTGTATTTATGCTTCATGTAGAAGTAAGAACTCACTTTCACTCAATGACTGTCTAGAAACAGGACCAAATCTTATCGAAAAAATTCCTCCATTACTTATGAGATTTTGTCAGAAAGAAATTAGTGTAGTTTCGGATATAAAAAAGGCCAAAGAAGATCAAGATTTTCTTAGATTCATATGGTGGGAAGATTATAAGGAAAGAAAACAAAAAATGTATTATCACCGACAAGTAGTGTTTGGACTTATCAGCAGCCCATTTTTACTAGCTGCTGTTCTAGATTAGCATTTGGAACAAAATGAAAGCCATTTGCCTGAAACCGTAGAAATACTGAGGAATGCATTCTATGTGAATAACTGCATAACTTTGGTAACTAGTCAAGATGAGCTTAAAAAATTCATTTTTGAAGCAAAACAGATTCTGGCTACGGGTTGTTTCGATTTAAGAGGTTGGGAAAATTCCAGTCTAACAGGTGAAGAATGTCAAAAAAAAAAAAAAAAAAAAAAAAAAAAAAAAAAAAACTTGTCCCTGTTCTTGGATTACTATGGGAGAAAACTAAAGATGTTCTGTTTTGTGATCTTGAAAAAATTGATTTCAAGAAAAAACCCATTACTAGAAGATAATATTCTTTCGACAGTTCACAGCATCTTCGATCCTATAGGAATTCTGTGTCTGGTCGCAATTCGTTTGAAACTGTTAATACAGAATAGCTGGAACCTGAAGATTATGAAACCTGCCCAGAAGATATTTGCCTGGAGTTCCTCCAGGCTTCCATGGCTTGAAGATTTCCATCTGTTAACAGAGATCAAAATTCCAAGATATGTCCAAAGCAATGTCCCGGAGGAAAAATCGAGTGTTCATGCTTTTTGTGATGTGAGTAAGTCCGGCTGTAGCACAGTCGTATTTCTACGAAGCGAATGTGAGAAAGGGGTAAAAGTTCATTTGATTGAAGCTAAAAGTAGAGTGGACATATCTTTGAATAAAGATAACGATGCCTTGATTAGAATTGTTAGCATGTTTGATCAGAGCTCGTCTCACTGCAACAGTGAAAGAAGCGATGGATTTAAAGGGAATATCAAGTACCTGTTGGACTGACTCCTCTACCGTTATGTTCTGGATCAAGCATGAAGATAACTGGGGAACATTTGTACATAATCGAGTGAAGGAGATAAGAAATTTAACATCAAAGGAACAATGGAAGCATATTCTAGGAAGCGACAATCCGGCTGATCTCCCATCCAGAGGATGTTCCGCTGGAGTTCTGCTCAGATCCAGATGGTGGAAGGGTCCACCGTGGCTTAAACAGCCTGAAGAAAATTGGCCCTTCTCTGAAATTAAATTAAATATGGAAGACGTTTATAAAGAAAGAAACAAGGGAATAACTGCCTTAGCTACCTCAGTTGCTCCTAACGAAAAATGGTACTTGCATCGTTTTTCTAAATATTC